AGTGATTACACCACTTATGAAGTTTCTGCATTGTCTTATAATCAAAACTAACGTTACTGAATATACTTAAGTTGTCTCAACAGTAATAATATAATTCTATTTCCATATCCTTATATACTGAAGCACAGACACGTGGGAGATGAGGGAGCAACGGGGTGGCACAGGGAAGAGTTGAAGGAGGCCCCAGAGAGAGAGAGTGAGCACTACAAGCTGCAGGAGAAGTCATCGCTGCTCCTCTTTGCCGGTAAATGTGTGAAAACCCCAGTGGCACGCACAGATCACTCCGGCAGCTGATCCTCATCAGGAATGGTAAGTACTGCCCATTACCTTGAGTCCATACTAGAATCCATGCTGAGAACCAAAAGCTTGCAAACGTGATGCACTACTAGTCAGGAATCAGTATGATTCTATGTAAAGAATTCCTGGGGCTTTTGCTCTTGTTTGATCTTCTTCGATAACCCCGAGAATGTGCACAGAAAACAGGTGAAAAGCATGTTCAAGTTTCAGAGTCTATTATGCAGAAGTTCTGAAATCTTAGGATTATCTTCATGACTTTGATTTACTCCTTTTGTCCTTGCACAAAGGTGGCAAAGTGAGCTTGAATTATGAGAGCACAGCTGGCTAGCATAATTTATTTAGATTTCAAAAAGGTTTTTGAGCAAGGTCCATGCAAGGAACTACTACAGAAATTAAGATATTGCTAGGGAAAAAAGGCAAACAAGTGTCATGGATGACTATCTGGTTGGAGCAAATTCATCAAAAGTGTAAGATGAAATGTTTTCGGGTTTGTTTTTTTAATTATGGCAAAAGGTTGACAGCAGGGTCCTTCTGTGCCCTATACTCAGTCTACTGTTCTTTAATATAATAACTCAGACCACTGAGAGAGGGAGAAATAGGGATAGGTAAAGAACAGTAATATGCCAGAGTCTGCAGATATCAAAAAAGTATTTAAAAGAAACGGAGACTGAAAGTAAGTTCAGTGTAACTTCTGTTACATGAATGAACAGTGCAATAACAAAAGGTTCACCACTGAGATGAATGTGAAACTGTGCATAAGAGAAACTTCAAACAAGCTACATAACCTCCAAAGGTGACAGAGCCCTGTGCTCAGCATGTAGCAGCAGCCAAAGATGCTGCATCACATGCTGGATACCATAAAAAAACAGATCATAGAGTACTATCAAATACATATACATTGTAATCAGAGGTATAACTTTGCTTAGAATACAAAATACAGCATAAGTCACCTTTACTGAAAGCTATTAAAGATTTGGATATTTGTGGGAAAGTATTACCTCGCATCTGCCTTCTGTAGCCTTTCCTTTTCCTCTGATACACTGAAACTAGTCAACATCACGGATAAGAAAAGGAGCAGAACAGCTGTGACCAACAATAGTGATTCCCGTTTTTCCATGCACAGGACAGATTTATTCACTGGAAGTTGTTTGTGGCATTGCTTTGCTCTTACAGCTATAGGCATGATCTGCTCAACTGTGTTCTACTTAATTTTGTTCTGACTATAACTTAATAAATTTTCTAACAAACATTTCAATGGCATCTAAGCATTCCATGAAAATCACTGGATTTATTTTCATAACATCGTAGGAGGGGATGCTATCTAGTTTATAAATAGGAGACTGGAATAAAAAGACTGAGATAAAAAAGCTTCATAAGCCTGATTTGCCCAGGTCCTGTCTTCCCAGAGTACTTCCTTTAATAGTTTCTATGCCCAAAACGCAGCTTTGTCTTCAGCAGTCAGGCAAACACAGACCCAGGACCTCGAAGCAAAACATTTGTAAAGTAAGAAACATGTAATTAAACGTGCAAGATATCACATGTGGCAATGTGACAAGGTAGAAACTTGCATACAACACCACAGTACATTGATAAGCCTAAAGACAATTATGGAGCAAATAAAAACCTAGCCTCCACAGTTTTAAATTTCTTTCCCTTCTTGGAATCCAGTTTTACAAATAGTTACAGCATGTCTATACAGATGGGTCCAGACAGAGCTGAACTTGCTCTGACTAAACCAAGCTGTTTAAACCTGTTGGCACAGATATATCTTGATGCACGCGTCTACCACTACTTACCCAAGGAGCCGCACAGATGCCAAAGTGGCTCATTGTGAAGCAGTGTGAACTGCTTGGGAGATATGGTTGTTAGTGCTGCTGTAGCTCCAGCAGATTAAGTAATACTAAAAACACAACCTCACCAACACTTTTTAGCCATCAACGCGCTTGTAGCAATCGTGGGTAGAGCCCCTCTCAAATCTTCATTCGCGAAGCCTAGCCATGACGACCAACACGTGAAGGGAAAAGATAAACTGCAGAAAATTACATATTGTCTTCCATACTATCTACTTCTGCTTGCAAGCACCAGCCAATACCAACACTCATCATCAATTTATGAGCCACCACGTTACAGCATTTATTGTAAAACCAAGTTGTTCATTGGAGTTGAGCTCAGGCAACCCACCCGCCCTCCTTGTTACAGCCTTGTTTCAGGTGTGTCACAGCCTTACTAACAGAGAAGGTTGTGAGGGTTTTCTTCCACTTGAACTACTTTTTTGCAAACTTTATCCACACAAACACCACGAATATGTATCAAGAGTCTTCAAGCGGTAAATGAAGCCAGAACTTGCTGACAGACGTGAGGTACTGCCTCAGGCAACAACTGCAATGTAAACTGCACAAACCCAGTTTCTGTCTTTCCCACGTGGTCCCACGTCTAGGTATATCCCTCCATACTCACACCCACGAACTAACTTAGTTCAAAACAATGACTCTCCATGCACTTTATACCAGGGCAGCTAGGAATGAACAGCCATTGGTCCACCGCCTGCTCCTACTAACTAACCAGCTGCCACACAAAGTCAAAATCGATCTTTTCCTAGGATCCTTTAAAAAAATTCGAAGCCACATTCCAGCACAGCTAGAAAGGCAGTTTCTAAAACTCTCGGGGGGAAAAAAAAAAAAAAAAAAGGTGCCGAGTGTAAAACTTTACTTTTTCCCTTTATAAAAGTGACCTTGCCAAAAAAGGGAGGGGGAAAAAGGCCAACCCAAACTTTAAAAAAAAAAAAAAAAAGTAAAAAAAGAGGAAGAAATAAAAAAGGAAAGGTAGAAAAGGGACAGAGCTAGTTTCACAGATTTGCTGGCAGTCCCAAGGACAATGAACAGGAGTGAGGCGGCTCTGGCGGCACGGAGAAAAGGAAATCTCTTCGAATCCTTGACGTGTCTTTTGTTTAACTTCCCATAATTGCTTTTTTGGCACGACCAATGCCCGGACGTTGTGAACAAGCAGTTCGAAGAGCCAGCCCTCACAGCTGGGAAGCCGGGCTTTTCCACAACTAAAACAAAACAGTAAAAAAAAAACCAAAATAAAGCCATACGGCGGCGTGCGCGCACAACTCCCGCCCCAGAGCCACTAGTCCCTCGGGGGCACCGCGAGGGTGAAAACACCCGCCCCCAGCCAGCCTCGTCCCCCCCGACCACCGAGCTCTGGCGCCCCCGGGCACAACCGAGGGGTGACGCGGGCACGTCGGCGGGAATGGGGTGAGAAGAGCGGGCGGAGGGCGCTCGGTCGGCGGGCAAGAGCCCGGACCGCGCCGCCGCCGGCGGGACCTGGTTCCGCGCCGCACAGCCTCCCGCCTGGCGCGGCGCTGGCCCGCGGCACTGTGAGTCAGTCGGTCAGTCACTCAGTCAGTGTGTCAGTCAGCGTGCCGTGCCCGGCTCGCCTCACTGACCTACAGGCGCACTCGCCATGGAGCGGCCACCAGCCCTAAGGGTAACCTATCCCGGAGCGAGTCGCCAGCCCCGGGCCGACACCGGGTCCTTGTTAACTGATGTGACTCACCAGCTGCCCCCCTCCTCCCCCCCGGTCGGGATGTAACAGCTGTTTTATCTCCCGCTGTAATTACGCCACATAAATATAGTTACAAGGTACTTGGGGGGGAGGGTTTGCTGTTAAAACGCTGTTGCTTCGCCGGTACAGCGAGTGCTGGTGCCCGCACCGCCGGGAGGGGAGGGTAGTGGGGAGGGAGTGATCCCTGCTCTGCCGTAGGAATCCATTATTTCATCAGCCGTTTAAGGCCCCCGTTGCTCATCCCCCCGCGCCTGCCCGGCCGGGAGTAGCTCCGCACGTGCCGATGCGGGAGTGCCACAAACACGCGCCCGTGGAATCAGCACTCGCCGCACCCGCACGCCTGTTTCGAGGCGAGGCGGCTTCTTTTACTTTCCACGGCGAAACCTTCGCCCGTGACACTTCAGCACGCGGCTGGGCGTCCTGCACTTTGGAGCCCGGGCACCTGGCTTTGTCAGGCGGGTAGCGAGGGGGGGAGGAGGGGGGGTGAGGAGCAGCTGCAGAGGCCGTCCGTGCCCGGGGAGGGCTCTCCCCTCCGCCACGCTCGGAGGGAAGCTGGAGAGAGCTGCTGGTGGGTCCCGCGTTTCCCATACCAGAGGAAAATAAACTGTTGCTGTGCAGCGCGTGCTCGCCCGAGAGGGATGAGTCAAGCTGTGAGACTTCTCTCTTTTACAGCTACGAGCATGTGCCGCAGCAAAAACCTACCGCGCGGGCGGGGGGAGTGGAAGGGGAGAAAAACAACCTTTTACGAACTGATGTAAAAATAACCGCAGAAATGGGGCTCGCCTTCCCCGCGGGGGCGGGAGGTACCCAGCACAGGCCAACCGGGGCTCCCTCAGCACCACTGGGGATGGGGGGGGGGAACAGCCCCCACTCGGCAGCCGGAAGGGGGGCGCCGGTCTTTGGAGGGCTTTTTTTCCTTCCCCTGCCGTACGAACTCTTTCTTTCTTTTTCTTCTCCCCTATTCACGCGAAGGAGTGGGTGGTTCGTCCGGCAGCAACAGGAGGAGGCTAGTCAAGGGCAGCTGTCACAATCTCCCCCCACCGCCTCTTCCTTCTCCTCCTTCCCAGTTTAATGATCAAACGTCTGCCTGGAAGAAAGGCGAGGGAGCGGGAGGCACGCACAGCTCCCCCCGCCGCCGCTGTTTAGTGTGCATGAGCGAGCGGGTACGGGCGGACACCCCCCCGCTAGGGCCGGTCCCTCCCCTCCCGGGCTGCTGGGGCTCTGTCAGACGGGAGGGGAGGGAGGAGAGAGGAGGAGGAGGCAGCCGCCGCGAGTGCCAGTGCAGCGCTCGGTTACTCTCCCGTACTCACTGCGGGGAGGTGGGGGAGGGCGGGCGCTGTGTACCTTTCTCTCCCTTGCCTTTCCTCACTTTAACAGGCCGGGGCCAATCGCCGGCAGAAGGGAACAAAGGGAAGGGGGAGGGAAGCCCACCCCGGCCACACCAGAAAGCCCCCGGGGAGGCAGAGCCCTGCGGCTCCCGCTGGCAGCAGCGCGGCCCCGGACCGGGCGCCTGGCTCCGCGGCGGTGTTTCTTCTTTCTTCATCGACCTTCTCCTCCTCCTCGCCGAGCTTAAAGGGGGGAGCAGCGTCCGGCGAAGGGAGAGAAACTTGGGTCGGTGCGTGGGGTGTCCTGCGGTCGGCTCAGTCCTCGCGATCAAGATGAAAAGTAAAAAAGGTAGTTGTGATGGGGTGCCGGGACAAAGCGGGGTGCCCCGCGCCCCTGCCCGGGGTGGAAAAGGGAAGGGGGGCTGTCGCTAAGCCAGGCGGAGTCTCTTTACCTTCTAGGCCGTTTTGCCCCCCGTAGCCCCCAACCACCCCCTGGCTCGGCTCCCGTGGAAGACTGCAGTGGATGCTCCGCTCCCAGACAAAACATGCGGAGCTGTTGTTTGGAGGCGGTCGCCTCTCCGCGCTGCTGGCTCTCTGTCAGAAACATGTCCAGCCGCCTGCCTCGTGCCTCCTCCGCCAAGTTTTGTTCTCTCCCCCTCCGCCAAGCCTCTTCCCCCTGTCCTCCCGTAAAACACTTCTAAACGGTTTTCCGCACCAAGCCCCGCCGTCCCGGTGTGTGAGGACGAGGGTGCAAGTCGTTTTCCCAACTTGGGGCGAGGAAAGCGGGGCTGTCCGGCAACTCTTTGTTCGCGGGCACGGCAGCGTGGGGTTGGGGGGGTGGGCATCGGCGGGAGGGCTTGAAGCCCCCTCCACGCCCTCAGCCGCCTTGTTTTGATGGAAGTTGGTGTCTTTTCTATCCCTTTTATCCCTTAAAATGGGACGAAAAAAAAAGTACAGAAGTTTTGACACAGGGGTTAAAAGGAGAAAAACTTTTTTTCCTTATAAGCATAAGGCTCTTCAAGTTTTTTTTTCTTTGTTCCAGACAGACAAACTTTACAGTTAGAGAGGATCGTTACTCATTGCGCTTGTGGTGCTTTTAAGTGCCTTTAAATTAGTCCTTGGCCACAGAGACGCGGAACGTGCTTTCGGATTTAACGCTCCTACGCTGGCTGGGAAGAAGTTCATAGGAAAGCAGTGTCTGTTCAGCTGCGATTTGCCAGTCGGTGGTGTGGCTGAAGGGTGTTTTGCATTCAAAGACCATTAAATGCTCCGAAGTGGAGGGTTTGAGGGGAGCAGTGCGCATGTTCAGTACTCCAGAGTTGTGCTGTTTTCCCCCTACTATGCATTCCTGCGGCTCTGTAGTAGGGCAGCCTCCTCTCTCATTGTTAATATCCTTGGAGCAATTAATGCATATGTAGTTCGTGAAATCATTGGGCTGCTGCAGACATGGTGTGTACTAATATGGTTTGTAGCCTTCTTCAAAAGTTTTTTTGGACGTGTCACTCGGCTAAGAGGAGCGCACACAAAAGGGAACTGAGCCACAAAGGCGAAGTTTAAAGAGCGGGCAGGGGTGGTGGTGAGGAGCGCAGCGTCCCAGGGGAGCGGAGTGGGGCTTGATCCCGGTCACAGCCTGGGCTGCACGCCGAGCTCGGCCCCCTGAGCACAGAGACAGTGGCAGCGCTGGCTTTTAAATGTTTCTGTCGTTTTAGGCAGGTTGAGATTCTTGACCCTATTGGGAGCACTTTATGGCTTTTCGCGTCCATCCCCTTCCCCCCCCTCCTTTTTTTTTTTTTTTTAATAGTTTTACTGAATTAATTTAGCCCAGTTATTTTTAGGACATTCCTATGCTCCCTATTTGCACAGCAGTGGTGAGCTGGTTTCCTGTCTGCTGTTGCTTCCATTGTTCAGACTTCTCTCCCCGAGGGCAGCTGCTGGTTGGTGAAATACCAAACTCCCTGCACTTTCAACTGTTGTTCTTGCCACCCCCGAAATAAATGCGTGTGGAAAACGCTGACGTAGTTTCTAGGTATGCATGTGTAGGGCTTTGTGTGTGAGAGTGTGTGTGTAAGCTCTGCTTTGAGGATTGCAAATCCTGGGCTGAAACAATGGAAACAATGAAAGGTGACAGGCGGGAGGGAGAACTTTTGAGAGGGGCCATGGGCCTGGGGTTTGCGTGGCACAAATTAAAAGGTGGGGAGACAAAGACGGAAACTTATTTAAAAGATGTTAGGGGCTGGGGTGCCTTTGTTTTAATAAAAGTTGGGCTTGTAGTTATTTATGATCTTCTGGCATTCGAGGCTCATTCAGGAAGTTTCAAAGAGTGACTTTATTACAGATTTCTTGTTTGGACTCCTAGCAAAATCTCGTTTTAAAGCAAAAAAAGAATAGTATAGCCAAATCTGGCTGGTTTAGAGGCGATAGAGTGCAAGCTGTGGAGAAGAAAACCAATAAGCTGGTTCCTAAATTATGAAACTTATTGAGATGAGAGAGTTTTTTTACTCTGGAAATTCCCTTGTGGATCCTTGTAGTTCTTTGTTACTTATGAATACTTTTAAACTCTTCTTTTTGTTGTTGTTTTTTAAATTCGCATTAAATTTTTACTGGTTTTTTTGGTATGTGTGTTGGATTTTTACTTTTTTGTGTGTTTGAGTGTGGTGTGTTTTTCTTGTTGGTTGGTTTTGATGGGCTTTTTGTTTGTGCCTTTTTTTTAAGCTCACAGGCTCTGGATTAAAACCCGGAGGACTCTTTTATGGATAATTTCATTTACAAATAATAACCTGATAGCAATCACACTGAACATACTCGGCTTGGCTTGTTAATTAGCTGATTTAGAACACAGTCTCGCAAAGGCAGAGGCATGTGCTCAAGTTTATACATGTGAAGAATCTCACTGCACTTGGTTACAACAGGATCGGGGCCTTAGATGGAAACTGGTTCTGTTTATCGGTGCTCATAAAAAAATCTGGTTTAAGATATGCAGAGAACCCTAAGGGGTGGGAGGTTTTCTTAAAGGTGATTTTTGTCCATCCCTTCTTTGGAGGGCAGAGATTGTTCCTTGTGGCATACTTTGTCCTCTTTTGAATTACAATTGGCTTCTGCCACTTCCTCTGTGAAGCTCTTCCTCGACACAATGGGATAGTTGTTTTTTGGTGTTGTGTTGTTTTTTTTTCCCTGATACTCAGCTTAAATTTTTCATTTGCTTCCATTTTATTTGTTTCAATCTCTCTAAATATTTTGTCCTCCCCCTCAAAGTATTCCAGTATGCCATTTTAAGTGGCAGTAGTTTATTTTGAAATCAGCTTTAGTCATCACTGTACTTTTACTCAAGTTGTTTCAGGCTGTTAACTAACGTTTGGGTGTTGAGCCTAGACTCGAGATCTTGGGTGTAATCTTCCCTGAGCTGATTAAGGGAGGACCTGTAAAGTCTTTGGGCTGTGATACAATGCAACAGTGCATTCAGTCATGTATATGACTTCAGCTGGGAAGCCAGGAGGATAAAGTGATTGATAAAGAAGAGATGCTGATCATGTAGTTCTTAAGTCGTTAATAGTGTGGACTGCTCATTTAAGTGGCTATGGTGGAAGCGGAGGACTGGGATTTTATGTGGTTTCTCAGACCTCTCTGCACATGGACTTGTGCTGCTTTAATTTAGTCCTACTAAAGCAGGTTTTTGTTTGTTTGTTTGTTTGGGTTAAATGTATTTAGGAGGAGACAAAAAAATAACGTGGCCCTAGCCTGCTTTTAATACAAAATAAATTAGTAGGTCAGCTGGGGCTACTCATCGTGTCCGCAGGCCTTTATTCTGGGTGTAAATAACAGTAAGCCAATGGTCCAGTCGTGGAGCCTGGCCAGGAGCCTTTTCAGTTGGGCCCTGTTAAAACAGGAAACCAGCAGCGAATAGGCTGATTACTAACAAGACGGAAAAACAAAGCTGGGTTGTAATCAGCAGGAATGCTTTAATGAAAACAGAGCCTTGACACCAACAATGTGGCTCCTGCTCTAGTAAAAAAAATATCAGCTGGGGCAGTGCGAGATTTCTAGCCACGACTTCCTGTTGCTGCTAACTCTGAACCGCGCCGGGAGAAGATCTGCCACGAGTTCAGAGGGCTGATCAGCTATTTAAATGAGCTCATTTGAATGAGCAGAACTTGTACTACACTGGGTTTCCTGCTTAACCAAAACCTGCTTTGTGTCACTAACTTACTGTGTCAATTAACGTGACACACTGAGCGAGCGGGTCAAAGGGCTGGCTCTGCTGGTGACTCATTTCTCTCTAGGTAGGTTACGGTTAGTCAGATGGCAACTTTTACTTTAGCAAAAGATCTTGTTTGGAAAAGAGAGAAACGTTTTTATACTGCTGGCTTTCAGACAGTATCTTGTCACTTTTTTTTTTTTTTTTTTTTTTTAAGGTGAGAAAGAGCAATAGTTCTAGAAGAGGTTTTGCTTTCATGTCAGTTTTTTGAAATTCAGGAGTCTTTAAGTTGTGTGGTAGATCTTGGAAAGATTACTCCAGATGGAGTGGTGTGTGTCTGGAGTACTTTTTGTTATGCCATGTAAATATGGTTTGCTACCCATTAGACACTTTCTCATGTGAGTAGTTTCTTTGGCTTCTCTTCCTTGTTTCCATGCCTTGCTGTTTGCCTCTCCCTGTTTTCCAAGGTCTTGCCCTACTGCCTTTTATATTTAAAAACAAACAAAAATCCCAGCCCGCTGAAGTGCTGCAACACTTCTGGTTTCTGACAAACAAGAACAGTGCACTTCAAAACGTTGTCTGAATAGCATAGGCTAGTTTTAGCTAGTTTTAAAATTCAGTTTTAAAGGGATGAGCTGCTTTGCAGAGCCGTTCTGTTGTCTGTGCAGGATCTTTGTTCCCAGAAGTGCTTCTCATGGCTCCAGGAGCCCATGGTACAAGGCAGGTTTTCAGGTTAGGCTGCAAGTGTGACAGCACTTTCCATGAAGCTATGACAAATACAAAGTGGTTTGCTCGGAATCATTTTAAAGCAAACTTGACATACTTTCTACATGAATTAAGAACCTGTTTACATAATTTGGAGTTTATCTTGTGTTGGCTATTTAAATATTGTCCTATTGTTCCTGTTCCATGACTGGATAATTTATGTGGCTAATCAGCAGATGAAAAATTTGGTATGTCAGTTTGGTGGTTGTCGGTTACATAAATCAGCAATTGGGAGAATGAAAACAATACCAAGTAAGTCACTGAAGTAACTATGCCAGACAGATTGTAGATTGATCATCCTATTGGGAATGCTTCCATATCAAAACTATGCATTGCAAATTGGACAACTTAAACTAAATTTAAGGATGTTGGAGCTATTCACAAATAGGGGAAGGAAAGAATAATTTACCATGTCAGCTTTGGCTGAAGTTTGAAAGTGTGAGGAAATGTTCTTCTCTGCTTTCCTCCATACCATCCTGCCAAGTATTAAGGAAAACTTGCATATGTACAACTTCTGTCTTTCTTTCTGTGGTGGTGGGGTTTTCGGTGGTTGGTTTGTGTTTTTAAAGGACATTAATTCCTTCTGTGTCTTTACATGGGTATAACAATAGCTTTATATAATTTTATACTTTCATAGGAACACTTCTTGTATTTTAGGGCTTACTTTCTTTCCTGAAATAGAATTTTTTAATTATTGGTGATTGCTCATATAAAATTTTACTTTTGACATTTAGCTGGCTTTTACTATTAAGAGTTTTAGTTCTGATGTTAGGAATGAGCAAGTTTCTTCCTCCCCACCCTCTCACCCTCCCAATCTAAGTTGATAAGAGAGAAAGATTAAGGGCTTGTTTCCCTCCTGTAGTTCCTAAAGAATGCATCTGAAAGACAGTGTAAATTCACTTGAAATTATTATTAATTTGTACTAGTTGAACATGGGTAGTATCTTATGTAAGATTCCTAAAATTTCTGCTGAATTTAACATGGTGAGTATTTAAACATGCTTTTCTTTGTATTTTACAGTACTAATTACTTGTGTATCCTACCAAAGGAGTAGAATTGTAGCCTTCCTAACTATTGAGTATTTGCTTATTTGCTTTACGTACCATAGCTTCATGTTACTAGTAGTGTGGTGTACTTATAAAGGGATAATCAGATTTTGAAATCTCCTCTTCCTCTATGTTGAAGAGACAAGGTATGCAGTTAACTTGTAAATTCAGTTTCCATAGATGAAAATTTGAGATGAAAACCATGAAGTTGAAAAAATTATCAAAACCCAAACAAATCCACCTAAACGTCAAATGATCATGTTTTTTTTTTTGATACAGAATGCAATTAAATTAGAGTCCGTTTTCTGTTAAGCTGGTGGACTCTTAGGCACCTGATTCTTTCCTTTTCCTGCACTCTTTTTCCTTCGTAAGTGAAAATTTCCTTTGGGGGGCAGGGCAGATACAATTTTTCCCTTTCTTCTTCCATTAGTTTTTATTAAAAGGTGTAATTATTCATTTATAAAATCTACAAGCTATCTGTCCCAAGAGGGAAGCATCAGCATGCTAAGAAGTAGTTAAATAACCCATTGCTTGAGTTGGGTGTTTTTAAGTTCTTCCTTATTGACCTTTTGCCCAGACACTGGATCGTTATCCTCGAAGAAAAGTGTAGGATGCATACCATAGCAAGCAAATTTGGACAATATTGGCATTAGATAGAAGCTATCTGATAACGTGTAGCAGATAAAAGGTTGCCAGGGGAACAAGAAAATGAAGGTTTGCAGAGAAGAATTCCTTTAGGAACAGATCATTGGTGCTACTTCTTGTTCAGCTGACAGAAAAGCTACAGCATGACAAGTTAACACTGCAGGACGAATCTCCAGTAGAAGAGCCTATACCCTGATTCACAGAAGGCAGTTGATACAAAATGTCTGTACCCCACAATGCTGGAGCTGAAGAGTTTATGAATTTAGGAGGCTGATTGTTCTTATCTTTTAATTGTAGGTGTAGTTGCAATATCAGGCAGTGAAACGGAGGATGATGACACTATGGATGTCCCACTGGATCTTTCCTCATCTGCTGGCTCAGGCAAACGGAGGAGACGTGGCAACCTGCCCAAGGAATCTGTGCAGATTCTTCGGGACTGGCTATATGAGCACCGCTACAATGCTTATCCTTCAGAGCAAGAAAAAGCGCTGTTATCCCGACAAACACACCTTTCCACACTACAGGTATTTAAAAAAGTAGTTCTCCCTTCAAAAGGAGCTGTTTTCTGTTTTAATTTACCTGCACTCTACTCATGGATACAAATGTTTACACTACATGTGAGATTTCTTATTTTATTGTTACTCTCCTTCTGATGGCACTTATAAGGAGAGATACAGATTGACTGTGTGTTATGATGATCTTTGTTTATTGGAATAAATTTTTTTTTCTGGGAGAACAGACAGTCATGAATTTGAGCATGCATGCTAATTTCTTGTGGAATCGTGTCCCAAAAGACATAAAATGTCTGTACAAGGTAATTTATTGTGAGAGGAAGGTATTTATTTGTCAACAGAGGTTTTATGGTGATAGATATGCAACTTAACATATAACTCTTTGCTTCTAAAACTGCATCTTGAGGCTCGTTCCTGTAGAACATGCACATATATAATTATGTGTATGATGCCTTCCATTAAGATCAGTGGAACAACCTATACGGGATAGAGCTACTCAAGTGTGTTAGTACAAGTATGGTGAGGCTTTTGTGTGGTTACTTTGGATTCTAATCCTGGGGTGCCATTGGCATCTCCAAGGTCCCTTGGATGCATCATTCGCATCTCCTGTGATCGTCTTTGGTGGAATAGCTGTTGACCATTGCTGCTTCCCCCCTTGTGGGAAAGTGACTGCATGAGAACTTGGGTAAACCTGGGTTTGGTTTTGAGAGGTGCTAAATAGAGAGCAATCCTGTTGACCTCTGGACTTTATTCTTCCATATTAATTCATTAGTAGATTTCATAATTGTCTATAGAGTAAAATTTCCTTAATATAACATCACAAAGAAAACTTCCTTTATGTAGTAAACAGAAAAAAGACGTTGAACTATAAACCATCCTGTATTGCCCAGGAAACTGGTTTGATATTTAAACAAGGACAAACTTAAATGAGGTAATTCATGTTATGTCTGTCGACACAGTCAGTTGAACAAGGAAAATCAGTAACTATTTGAGGGAGGAGTGGCTCTCTTCAGAGAGAAAAAGTTTTCCTGTTGTTAATTAACCTGAGCTAGGGAACAATAGCCAATAGGTTAATGTGTGTGCACAGAGTTAAAAGCTAACCCCTCAGTTTGGGCTTCTCGAAGCCTTCAGATGTCCCGGGGCTTTCTGTAACAGGAGCAGGGAGTCAGCTCTGCGATACAGCCAGGACGAGGGAAGGGCCTTTGCCAGGCGTGTCAGAACTTGTCACTAGGTCTCTCTTTTGTTGTGCAGTGAATGAAACTGCTTGGAGTGATGCATTAATCTAACACAGTGGCTCTAATGGCACATAGTTGGAAATGAATGAAGGTAGAAATTAAGATGTCATTTTATTCCCAGGTCTGCAACTGGTTTATCAATGCGCGCCGCAGGCTCTTACCTGACATGTTGAGGAAGGATGGCAAAGACCCAAATCAGTTCACTATCTCGCGGCGAGGGACCAAGCTTCCCGAGGGCAGCCTGGTGGAGTCTGCCATCAGCACAAAGAACTACATTCCCCTGCTGGAGGAGACTGCCTTCCTTCCCGCTGCTGCACCGCTTGGCAAGACTGTGTCCTCTTCCAAGCCAGCTTCCCCGGGATCGGTCCTGGCTCGGCCGTCGGTGATCTGCCACACGACTGTGACTGCGTTGAAAGATGCCCCTTTCCACTTTTGCCAGCCAGCTGATGTAGGCCAGACCACGGACCTGCAGCAGCCGCCAGCCGGCAGCTTCACAGACAACCCCCTCTCCTGCCATGAGGACGCGTCTAAACTGGGACCTGGTGCAAACACACAAAGTGGGCTCTTTAACACTCCTCCTCCAACACCACCAGACCTTAACCAGGATTTTAGTGGATTTCAGCTACTGGTGGATGTTGCACTCAAAAGGGCGGCAGAAATGGAGTTGCAGGCGAAACTTATGGCCTAAATCCCCTTCCTTCTCCTTCTCCGTTTTGTTTTACCAGGCAGGGATCTAACAGCTGTGTGGTTATTGCCACCCACAGAATATCAAAAGACTTCACTGCATTATTATTATTTTTTTTTATTAATCTTATTTGCACAAGGGGATTGCTGAAATGAAGCTTCCTGTCACTGAGATGGTCTTCAGTGGAATACGGTCATTCCAAGAATTATAAACTTAAAGCTACTGTAGAAAGAAAGGATTGTGTGTTTTGTTGGTTTTTTTGTTTGGTTTTTTTTTTTTTTTTTTAATGTTTTCTTTGTAGGTTTTTCATAATGTGAGATGGTTCCCAAGATCATGTGATTTGTTTTTGTTTCTTTCAGACTGTGCAATATCTAGTAATGATATAGAGTCTTCTTATCATTCCCATGTGGAACGGAATATACCAACATGCTGTTTAAATTTTCAATTTTTTTAACAATACAAACTTTGGATGATCATGCTTTTTTCCCATAATGTAATAAAATATTTTCTTTAAAAATTATGTATACAGAGTATTTTGTTGCATACGAGCTTTGCAGAAAACACAGCTTACCCTTGAAATAAATGGAAATTAGAAATATTTTTGAGCTCATGCTGACTTTGTTTGGTTTAGAGAGCTACGCTAAGCTGTTGTTGTTAACCACATGTTTATAAGTGCTGAAAAGTGGGCCAGAAGTACCTGTATTGTGCTATGTTGAAATTTTTTAAGGGGTCAGAGGGAGCTGACAAAATTGCAGAGGGTTATCTTAACTCTGAGAGTTCCAGCTCTTGGGTCATAGAAATACTTTGGAGCTGGGAAATGTGATGGCCCATGGGGAAGATTTCCTGAAGATGAAATGAGGAGTCTAGAAGAGGGGTTGGGGCAAGTGTTCTTTGCAGGTTTTTGTGATGCAACTCATAGACATGACTGGTGACACATTTTGATGGGGAGAGCAAGGACTTTCTACCCTTACTCATCTTGGACTAACAATGACAAGGTTTTTACTCAGTAATTCTAGCAAATTAAAGTAGACTGTATTGTGTTGAAATCTGAGTTCTGGGGAGCCAGGTCTTTGTGAGATACTTGAACAGGTGGTTGGCTAAGATGTAGAAGAGATCCCTGTTGAATTTTTGCCTACAGAATCTGTATTACCTTTCAGAAAAGGACTTCGCTATCAAAATGACTTATAACTGAAAAATGTGAAAACTTGCAGCTCACATTTCAACTTACTTGAATGTCAGTCACCCACCCTTATCCTTCCAACAACACTGGAATAAGAGACCTCCAGGGTAAAAAAATCGGTTCCGGCTAATCCTTAAAAACAAACCATTTGTCTGTTTGGGAGGTTTGGGGAGGGCTTTGTGGAGCAGGAGAGTTGATGAATTTAAGGATATCATGAGTAGGGAGAAGACTGCAATATCCAGACTACAATGTGTATGCATTCTGTTTTGCTGTGGCCTTCGTTTCTTTTTTAGTGTCAGAAATACTGTGTTTGTTGTCTGGAGTACTCTTTGGAATTCTGAACTTCTGCCTTCCTTTAACCTTCAAGTGTAAAATTAAAATGGCAAATAGTAAACATTGCCTTACTCATGTCTGCATCAGGTTCAGTAACAGAGTCATCCTACTATACTGTATGAATATAGAATTATTTTTTAAAAATACTATGTAAATAAAGCTGGAAAAGAATTTTGAACATAGAGATGGCTGTGTACTCTGCCTTTAAGGAATTGCGTTTGAGTACAGAAAGAGTGTAGTATCTCTCTGGACACACTGTACTTGATACTTATAAGCTGTTTTTCCAGGGGATACCTAAGTATGTATCGTTCGGTTAGGTTTCTTTAATGCTTAATTAGAAAATGAAATGGAAGTATACTTTTTTGTAACTGAGGTCAAGGTTGAGGGAAAAGTTGGTTGATAGACATGATTTTGTGGCACAGGTGATTTATCTCGAGGGGTGGTAGGGACCCTAAGCTGAATGTTATCTTTGATAAAGGTTTGGAAGATCCTCCTTTTTCTTTCCTGTCCCTGCAGGAAGGAACTTTATTGCAACACTCCTTACACCCATGATGAAGGAAAAGCAGCCTCATACAAATATGTTTGAATTGTTTGACATTTTCCTCTTTAGTTTTCTTTTTTTCAGAGCATTTTGCTGGTATGCTTTGGGGTGGAGGAAATGTGGGGCACTTGGATCATTAAAGGGCATTTTCAGAGAACTTTACTCCTCTTTACTCTGCCCTTTAAAATAAAAAAATGTCGGCAAGTTTAGAAAGAAAAAAAAATGCTTTGCTGGCTGAACTGACCAGTTCTGTAATTCCACTGTAGCAGCTGCAGTACTGAAAATGAAAATAGGATGAGGAAGAAAGCTGTTGCCTTTCAGGTTAACAGTTTTCAGTGAAAGTAAAAACCTGTGGTGTCTCTGATGTTTTCATTTACTGTTATGCCACACAAAATGGCGTTTAGTGTAAATGAGCACCAAAGTCCTGCCTGTGTGATGAGCACTGCATTTCCATTTTGCTGACTGACTTACCCTGGGAACTTCACTTGTGACCAGTTTTGCTTGAGGCCAATTATATACTTTTAAAATTATTACCTATGTTAAGGTTACACCTAGAAGTTCAGCTGTAGTCAGAAGTCAAATGCCTTTGGCTGAGTAGCACCTGACACAGTGGGTAAAGCTTTTCCTTACCCTGAGGTGTTATTTAACTTGGAGGAAAAAAATGACTCATTGAGTACCCACTAAAATGTATCAAAAGGGAGTTTCTGCTTTCCTGTAATCTATAGCACTGATAGTTTTGGTGCAGGCTATTGAAGTTTGCCTGAACCTATTATTTCTGAGCAGAAACCTGAAGTAACTTCAGATAAAATAATCAAAGATAGATAGATATAGGGCATTGGGTGGAGCTAGGATCCAGAACTAAGCAAGAGTCCTAGTAACAAACCAAAGGCTTCATGTGCTGTCTGTACGTCCCTGATAGAGCAAAGGAAATTTTTTTTTTTGGAAACTTGTTTTAGCGTGGAAAAGAAAGAAAGGATAAAGAAACAATGAGACAACGTGGACAGTGTTGCTATTCTTTAAGCAATGGTAAACCTAATTGCAAAGCAGCTTTGTCAAAACCTGACCTCTGACTGAAAACTCACGCTTTGGCTACTCTGAAGCTGAAGGGAAGGCATTACCATGTGTTGTTGGAGACTGTGTGGCCAGCCAGGGCGTCAGCGAGCTAAGAGGTATGACAAATTCATGCCAGGGAAAACAGCTCACACGCAGACTTCATCAACCTTGTTTTCATGGCTTTTGTGTCTTGTAAACAAGTTGTGGCAGCTGCATGTGATAAATCTCTGCACAGAGCAAAAATAATTACAATAGGGAGGGAATCTTGAACCAGGCGTCGCTGCCTGCTTGCATAGGGGCGTGGGGGTGGTGTCTCACTGCCTGTTGGTGGGGGTGGCTTGTGGTATCCCACGTTTCCCAGCTTCTGCCATGAGGTCAGTGTACATGTCTATAAAACCGTTGAAGCTGTAACAGCTGGCCTCGTGCTGTGGGGGAGGGAAGGGGTGGAAGGACAGCTGGAAGCTGGGCTAACTTGCACAGCTTCAGCCTCCAGGGCAATGCCGGCTCTGCTGCCAGAAGGACGCCGCTGCCCAGGCAGAGCAGGGGGCAGGCAATAACTACGTTGGAAAAGGGGTGGCAGGAGCAAGTAAGCTGAAACCAGGGAGAGAGACTGTGGGTGGTGGGGGATAATCAGGTTTCCCCTTGGAGATGAGGTAAAGAAAGCTGCAGCGGGAAGCCCAGTCTGTAGAAGGTGCAGCGCAGCTGAGAGCCCAGGTGCACCATGACCCTGTTCAGTGTCACTCTTACACCTTTGGTATTTAGGTCATTTGCAGTTAACTGTGTCCTGCCTGCCAAGGTCTATTTTTGTTTTTCTTGTAGTACTTCTGCAGTTTTTTTTAGTAATCTTTGGAGTACTTCATACTCTTAAAACTAACTCATTTGAGTTTTCTTTTTTCTTCCTCGACTTGGCATCTTGCAGTTGTCAACTTCCTGCCTGGCTTTTCCCCAGTAGAGATTACTGGCATGAATACAGCTCATGTTCACTTTTCAGGACATTACTTGTTTTAAGTGTCTTATTCACCAACTGCTGGAGTTGTTACGTCTCTATCCTGTTTCACTGGTTCAGCGAGCTCTTCTCCCATGAGTTCCAGTGTTCAGACTGAAGGGGAAGAGATTAGATTAGCCACTCACTCTAGCAAAATGTCACTTAAAGCTGTTGCTCTTCGAGACATAATAATTGCACCCACGTGTGGAGTATGTGGTTCAGTGTCTATTCCAGTCCCTATCACGACAATGAGTGCCTGGAGTTCTGCACACAGAGAAAATTACATAAACCTGTGCTGGCTATGCTACAAAGTAAAAACTCAGGCTGCATTCTCTATCCACGTTTTGCGCACATTCGTGCTGACAGCTCAAAGCCAGTTTGCTCACCCTTCGCTTTTATTCCTTAAGATTCCCTCTTTTTTCTGAAGCTGAGGCATCAGGTCTGGGACTAAAACTGGCAGGTATCTCAAGTCTCGCTAGACAGGCTTGCAGATAGGGTAGCTTCCACCAACAGGTAGACTTCACAGCCCTTTATAGAACTGCAATGCCACCTCACTGTGCAATATGAATCACAGTTCCTGAAAGTGATGCAGACATGAATAAGTCACATCTGCCTCCCAGCTCATCCCTGTTCCACTGAATAGCAAGATTTCTGCCAAATTCCATGTGTTTCTACTGACAAACAAGGTATTGATCTCTAAGCTGCTTACACCGATGTGTAATAAACCTGTAAAGATGTACAGAAGTAAATAGCAGTGCTTTGAATTAGTGACTTAACTGGGGAGGGGAGGAGGGGCACAGGTGGCAGCTTGTGAGTTGAATGAGTGCACATGTCAATTATCTAATCTGGTTATTCTTGGACAGCTTCTCTGGAACCACAGACCAGCGCTGTGGCTGCTTTCTCTAATTGCAGCCTGGACCGTGCCTGCCCTGGGTGCTGAGCCCTGTCTCTAGGTGTGTAACAACATGACCCTCTCAGAGCAAAGAACCCTTGTCTGGGCATAAACCCTGCACGTGGTTTTTATGAGCCTTTCATCACATAATTTAGCTGACGGTGAAGAGGATTGACCTGACTACAGCAAGAGCAGGTCAGTCCCAGTGCTGTGGGGTTTGCAATAGATATATATGTTTGCATGGCTTCTCTGAGTCTTTCCCTCTCTGCAGCATTGCCATGCTGCAGGGGAAATACTGCCCTGAAGCTCCTCAATCAGTGACATTTCACGAATTGGCAGGACTCAGCTTCTTTCTGAGAATATACTGAATATTTTTATCAGTAGTAGTAGAGAAAAAATTCCCAATTCTGAGACCTGTAGTTTTACTAGTATAGTATTCAGTAAATATACAGAAAATGTTTGATCCTCCCTTTGAAGTCCCTACAGCCTGTTAGCTCTTTGGGAAATCATGTGTTAATACACTTCATACTTTA